AATTGCAACAACCACCACTGTATTCTCTAGGGCCTCTGCAAAACAAAATCTATAATGTCTGGAGGTTCTAAGTATTTTTCTAGCAAAAAAATACTTATTTTTTTAAACAAAAAGTGTCAGAATAGGCCTGGCCCTTACGTGGTTAAACACAACACACTAGAAAAGCAACACCTCCATGGGCATTTATCAAGCATGCTTGATGGGTGTTCAATACTTCAAAAACACAACAAAAACACGTGATAAACACATCATAAATACTATAGAAGCGTTAATGAGCATTGCTTCGTTCTTCATAATCAACGCACATGTGAACAAACTCTTGAAGAGAAAGTACAGTTTGGAAGACCAAATGTTTTCATATATCTGCCTTGGTATTTGCCCATGAGCATTGACATCACAAATGCTACTGAAAAGGACACATCTGTTCTTTACCTTAACTATTTACGTAATAAAAAGGTATAAGGAACATGTCCATGACCCAAACAGACTATATGGGAACAGCATTGCAGGTGTCTTCTTTTCAACAACGGCTTTGTATTTGTACTTCTTTTTTTTTTTTTTTCATTGAGTATGAGTGGATCTCCAACACATCTCACATAATATCATTAAACATATCCTTCCTACACACGCAAACCCTGAAAATTCTTACAAGGTGCTACAAGCAGAGATTTGACCTTATCCAGCTGCTTGTGAAATCTATTCCTAAAAAAAAACCTATAAAATACAACAGGCCTCAACAGCAACAACTGTCTTTCACAGAGTGAACTGCAATCTACCAAGTCACATAATGGAGACAATTGTGTTACAGCAAGGCTTTGTGCATATCAAAAAGGACTTCCAATTTTTTCTGTTTAACTGAACCAAACTTTTGTCCATGCAGGGCAAAGCAATTTGTTCACCTAATTGCCTGTCTCATCTGCTACTTATACTCATTTCCCTTTCACTCTTCCGCCATTCTGTCTATCTGTCAAAAAAAGAAGTAAAATGAATAGTACCTCTGGGTATAGGGATCACAAGACTCTTTCCACTTACTCCTGCAAAACAACTTTGGATACCTAATTGCCAAAAAACCAATCAGTGGAGGCAAGGGGAAAGCCCTGTGTGTGTTCCATGTCACTCTTGTAGAAGCAGTCACAGGGTGTTTATATTTCACTTCCACAGCTGAGCAGGTTGGCCGAAGAGCAGACCTAAAGTGAGTAAAGCAAAGGCGATTTGGGCACTTAGATAAACCTGTTGATTTGCCCTGTGCTGATTCATTTTCTCTTGTGATGTTTTTCTAAAATCTTTTGTTGATCTTCATGGACAATTATCTTTAACTTGAAAAAGCCAATTTCTTCAGACTGCTGCCTTAACCTGGCCTAAATAAGCAGACAGAAGGCTATACACAATGGAAAAGAAATACACAAATAGAAGAGAATTTGTTGCCCAAATACCAATTTAAGAAACAGCAACGCCAAATAGATCTTACTTTGTGAGTCTGGCATTGGTACTGGCCACAAACCCAACAACTGATTGAGATTTGTTTAGTGCATCTTTGTTGACATCTATCCCGACCACCATGAGGGACTTGAGCTGTGGAAACATATTCAGCCATTAATTCTAAGAATACATTACTCCATCAGGTGCTGTCAAGGGGAATGAAAAGTAACTCACAGGAATCTCCACGGCCCAGAGCTCCCCTCCCATCTTGCAGATCATTTGCATGGCGATTTTGCTGGCAACACTCATTAGCATGTGTTGTTTGCTCAGTGAACGGCTCTGCACACACTGGCTGGGAACGGGCATCTCCATGCACAGAAACTTCTTAATAGAATCATAATTATCTTTTGAATTAGATGGCAGAATGCAAAACACCTATGTAGAAGAAAAAAAAATCACAAAATAAACATCAATAATAATATCATCCACAACAGTATTCCACTGATTATACCGTAAATGGAACTATAGAGAGCTTCCAATTGTCCTATTTGTGGACATTTGTTTCATAGCCAGCTCCCCACTGTGCATAAACAGGTTTATGCTGCACTTTCAGACAGGAGGAGGATGAATGTAACTTTCATGTTCAGGTGAGGTGCTTTAACTGAATGATGTTTAGTTTGCTACAGCAATGTACATCATAAACAATGACATTTATTATTAACCACTTGCAGACCAGTTCATTTACTGCTGGTGGCCGGCTCCCGCAGGCACCGCTACTTAACGCATGTAACGGTGAACTTCCTGGTTTAGAGGTGTGTGCGCGCCCCCTACTTATCTTACTTATCTTAGACACAGAACGAGCTTGTCAGCAGGTTACAGACAATGATTTTGACTGCATACCTCCTGATCTTCTGTGGCCAATTGCAGCACAGATATTTGTGTGTCTGTAAACACAACACACAGGATCTAGCTAGATTTCTCCTGCTCCGAATTACTGTTCAGAACTGAGAGCCAGGAGAGACCCAACCAGAACCTGTGTGCAAAAGCAGCACACATACAGTTTGTTAGGTACACAATGAACCCCGTGACTTCCCTCTCGATCATACCTGTCACCTAGCCACTGTCATTAGTACAGTGTACAATATTTTCACTGATCACTGTCTTAGTGTCACTAGCGAAGTCAGCTAGTGTCAGAGTCAGTGCCCCTCCCAGTCAGTGTCAGTTAGTGCCAAGTTGCCCACCACACTATTACAGTCATACTATAAGTCGCTGATCACCGCCATTACTAGTATACAGGTGCATCTCAATAAATTAGAATATTCTCAAAAAGTAAATTTATTTCAATAATTCATTTCAAAAAGTGAAACTCATATAGATTCTTTACACACAGAGTAATATATTTCAAGCACTTCCTTCTTTTAATTTTTATGATTATGGCTTACAGCTAGTAACTCAGAAAATTAGAATAGTACATAAGACCAATAATAACAATTATTTTTAATACAGAAATGTTGGCTTACTGAAAAGTATGTCCATGTTCAGTATAGTATGCACTCGTCGGGGCTTCTTTTGCATTAATTACTGCATCAATGTGGTGTGGTGGCGAAACGGCCCGTGGCACTGTTAAGGTGTTATGGAAACCCAGGTTGCTTTGATAGCAGCCTTCAGCTCGTCTGCATTGTTGGTTGTGTGTTGTCTCTCATCTTCCTCTTGACAATACCCCACAGATTCTTTATGGGATTTAGGTCAGGCAAGTTTGTGGGTCAATCAAGCACAGTGATATCATGATCATTAAACAAGGTAATGGTACTTTTGGCAATGTAGGCAGGTGCCAAGTCCTGCTGAAAAATGAAATCAGCATCTCCATAAAGCTGGTCAGCCTGAGGGAAGCATGAAGTGCTCTAGAATTTCCTGGTAGAGGGCTGTGCTGACTTTGGACTGGATAAAACACAGTGGACCAACACCAGCAGATAACAAGGCTCCCCAAATCATCACTGACTGGAAACTTCACACTGGACCTCATGGGACTTGTATTCTGTGCATCTCCACTCTACCTCCAGACTCTGGGACCTTGATTTCCAAATGAAATGCAAAATTTACTTTCATCCGAAAAGAGGACTTTGGACCACTAAGCAACATTCCAGTACTTTTTGTCCTTAGCCCAGGTAAGGCGCTTCTGATGATGTCCTTGGTTCAGGAGTGGCTTGCACAAGGAATGCGACAGTTGTAGCCCATGTATTGGATACGTCTGTGTGTGGTGGCTCTTGAAGCACTGACACCAGCTGTGCTGGTGTCAACAGTCTTCCCCATGATTATGTAACCTACTGAACCAGCCTTAGAGACCATTTAAAGGTTCTTAGAGACCATTTAAAGGTTCAGGAAACCTTTACAGATGTTTTGAATTATTTAGTTGATTAGAGTGTGACACATCTAATTCACTATTTCAATTTAATTACTGAAATAAATGAACTTTTTAATGATATTCTAATTTATTGAGATGCTCCTGTAGTGTTTATACGTATCTTGATCACAATCAAAACTATACTAGTGTCCCCAAAAATGCAGTGTTAGCAGGATCAGCCCTGAACACTAACAGCACTTGTGTTTAAATCCTACCCATCAAAAAGTGCAGTGTCAGTATAATTTTTCTGATCACTGCCCCTTCTGAAACATTGTCCACAAAGCCACTGTGTTACCAAGATCACGCCTGATCTCTGCTACCACAGTGCAGATGGACAATGACCCAAAGCATACTGCAAAAGCAAACAAAGAGTTTTTTAAGGGAAAGAAGTGGAATGTTATGCAATGGCCAAGTCAATCACCTGACCTGAATCCGATTGAGCATGCATTTCACTTGCTGAAGACAAAACTGAAGGGAAATGCCCCAAGAACAAGCAGGAACTGAAGACAGTTGCAGTAGAGGCTTGGCATAGCATTACCAGGGATGAAACCCAGCGTCTGGTGATGTCTATGCGTTCCAGACTTCAAGTTGTAATTGACAGCAAAGGATTTGCAACCAAGTATTAAAAAGTGAAAGTTTGATTTATGATTATTCTGTCCCATTACTTTTGGTACCTTAACAAGTGGGAGGCACATATGCAAACTGTTGTAATTCCTACACCGTTCACCTGATTTGGATGTAAATATCTTCAAATTAAAGCTGACAGTCTGCAGTTAAAGCACATCTTGTTTGTTTCATTTCAAATCCATTGTGGTGGTGTATAGAGCCAAAAATGTTAGAATTGTGTCGATGTCCCAATATTTATATGCCAGTTCACCTATCTTTTTGTGGCGTTGTAATAACACTAATTCAAGACCCCAGCAATGCAAAGGTATTGTCCCAACACACTATATGGAATATTTTGAGTCTAACAATACTGGAGATGTTGACACATTCACACTCTGGAAAGCTCGTGAAGCATACTTGCGTGTGTCAGGAATGGACTGGCCAGCAATGGTGGGACTCACCTGCCTTTTGATCTGCAGTACCAGGGCTGGCCAGCGGGTGCTCCCAGCAATCAGAGACTCAACCTTTCAGCCAGCTAACACCTGGAACTGATGATACTGGTGTATTTAAGGGATGGCCAGACTTGCAGACTCTGCCTTGGTGTTATGTTTGTCCTGGGCCCTGTATCTGTCCTGCATCCTGTTTCTGTTCCTTTGCTGACCCTGCCTGATCTGAACCGCTGCTGACTTCTCCTGCTCTGATCCCGGCTCGCTCCTGACCATCCCTCTGCCTGACCCTCTGTACCACGCTGCTTGCTACCTGTTCTGATCCCTGGCTTGTGACCCTGACCATCCCTCTGCCTGACCCTCTGTACCACGCTGCTTGCTACCTGTTCTGATCCCTGGCTTGTGACCCTGACCATCCCTCTGCCTGACCCTCTGTACTACGCTGCTAGCTACCTGCTGAACCTGGCCTGTGACCCCGACCCATCTCCGCTTGCTCCCCCTGTACCTACCTGCCCTATTGATATTGACCCGGCCTGCCTGACGACGCTTGCACTGTATGTACTGTTATCTGTGGGTGGTTGGTTTGGTTTGTTTGCACTGTATTATGTTTTAGTATTGCACTGCGTTTATGTTTGTATGGTTAGTGTTAATAAATTATATTGTTTATCACATATCTGAAGTCTGCGTTTCCCTGCGTCAGTCACACACCTCTGGTCACACCTGGGAGCCCTGACAGCGTGACATTATCCTGCAACTCTGCGCACATGCCAAGCGGGTATCCAATTTGAAACGTAATACTTTGTTGAAAGAAATTTTAGTCACTAGAAACCTTGAACAAAGCCCAACCCACGCTGTCTCTACTTCTATCCAGAACTCTTAGGATGGAACTCAGGGAACTCTGCAGCTTCAACATGATAAGTATCTTTGTTTATTAAATCTCCGATATTATTCACATAGTAATAACGCAGGGAAGTTTTTGGCAAATAGACTTAAAATCCAAAGAATTAAACACAAAATCCTGTTTATAATCCATCCTACAACAAATGAGAAATGAATCCCAAATAAATTGCCAATGTGTTTGTTGACTATTATGAGAGTCTCTATAAATTAAGAGAACGGCCTGACCACCCCTCAACCTTCTAGCAGCAACATAGAACTATTTCTTGCTAAACTGAATATACCCTCCCTTACTGAAGAGCACTTACACCAACTTAATGCTCCTTTCACAACCTCAGAAATCCTTTGTTATCAAAACTCTGGGAAATCCCCCGGCCCAGACGGATTTACGAAAGAATTTTTCAAAACCTTTGGTCCACATTTATCCTCCCATCTCGTAAATGTATTTACCGCTGCACAACTCTTTCCCCAAGAAATGCTGAGGGCGCATATTGTCACGCTCCCTATGCCTGGGAAAGATGCCAGCTTACCTTCACGTTCTAGACCAATTTCACTGTTGAACTCGAATATCAAAATATACGCCAAGCTCTTGGCACTCAGACTGAAAATTATGCCATTCCTGGTGCAACCGAACCAACAGGCTTTACAAAAGGACGTCAAGCGTCACACGTGACGACACGATTAATCAATATTATTGACTACGCTGAATGCTCCCGAACATCCTCTCTGCTTCTATCTATTGATGCAGAGAAGGCGTTTGATAGAGTACACTGGGGATATTTGACACAAGTCCTGGAAAAGTTTTGTTGCCAGGGCCCAATAGTCTCAACGGTACTAGCATTATATTCTTCTCCCTCAGCCAAGGTATACACTTCAAATCTATTGTGTAAGACCTTCAATATTACTAATGACACAAGACAGGGATGCCTATTATCGCACTCATCTTCAATCCTATTATTGAACCACTGGCGGAAACCATTAAAACTACTAATACTTCCGTCTCGGGCTTCCGTTTCCACAATAAGTATCATGTCATTATCTTATACGCTGATGATGTCATCCTGACATTAACAAACCGTACAGAATCTTTATCACGATTACATTCTATTCTTTCACAATTTGGCGCCATTTCATACTACAAGGTACATTTTTCGAAAATCTCTTATCTTAAACCTAGGAATTTCCGCACTGGCTAAAACAACCTTAGAAACCTCCTTTCCCTATACTTGGACTTCTGGAGGACTGCCACATCTTAACCCCCTCCACTGCTACTTTAGCAGAATCTAATTTCCAGCCTCTTATTAAAAAGCTTAGCAATGAACTTACATGCACAGCCAAATTTGAGTTACCTGGACAGGTAGACTAGATGCTTTTACTGTAAAATGTTATTCTTACCACAAATTATTTATCTTTTCAGAACTCTCCCCATTCCCCTCAAATCCTCATGTTCCCTAGAATCTCTGTTTAAAAAATATCTATGGAACCAGAAAAGAGCTAGATGCTCCAACGCCCAACTTATAAAACATAAATCAGTGGGAAGCATAGGGCTAGTAGATATTAAAGATTATTACACAGCCGCTTTGTTGGCACAGATTAAACATTGGTTTTACTCGCCTTCAGAACACTTGTGGCTAGACAAAGACAGCAACCATACCTACGGTACCTATTGCTAGCTGATTTATGGGTTCCACAGTCCTTAGATAAACTACTTATCACTGTTAAAGCCTCACTAATGGTTTGGAGATTAGCTATTAAACTTCAGACTGACATTTTTTCCCACTGACATATCTATACCCACGAATGTACTAAATGTTCTCCTTCCGCACATGAAGGATACTGACTGTTCTTGTTATGGTCTACACATTGTAACAGATTTTTATGAACAGGCTAAACTTAAAAGTCTACGAGACCTACAAAAAGGTAACACATTTTCATTGTCAATACTCTTAAGTTATTTAGTATTCACCATTCTCTATTGCAAAAACCTCCCCATCCCTTACAAATAAGACACCAGTATATGGCAATTTTATAACAAATCACCTAAATCTACCAAACGGATTGCCTTTTTTTTTAGACTGTTTGCAAAATAAGTTATCTTTCCATAAAACTGGCCCTATCCTGGCATGGGAGATAGAACTCCACAGATCATATACTAGTTAGTTCCGATGTTAAAAGGGAGAAACTTCAACTTTTTCAACTCAGCTTAGCTTTTTCTAGGAACTCAGCAGGGTGTCTCCCTGAGGCAGGGAACCAATCGCCTCATGTGGGCGGGTGTTGCAGGCGGAGACCCAAGCTATGACCAAAAACCCTCGCAATTGATGTCATGGCTCATAACTTACCCTGGATACATATAACATTCTATCCACGAGTAGATTAATACACAGAATCTTCTGCTGAACGTCTACATATGAAATATGACATACCTGTTGTGATGGGTAAGGAGATATCATTCTCTACTTTCATGTATATGTCAGATAGGGGGTGTAATATATCAGGCAACTTATATTAAAGTGACCGGTTTGAATATCTGCCTGGAATTTAGGTAAGTCTCTCATATTCCAAGATATGTAATTATAGGGGAAAGTGGGTCTTGAATGTGATGTCAGGTTTATGGCTTTACGATATCTTTCCAAGCAAGAGTCTCCCAGACATATGGGCACCAGCTAATTGGGGTTTATAGCCATGACGCCTTCCAAATGAGTTTGCTGCCTGTGATCTCTGTCATCATCCAGACCACATGTCACTCAACAGAGAGGGAGGGGGGATATCGGAGGAATCTGATTTGGTAGAGAGAGATACAAGATGGAGGGGTTTGGAGCAAAATGGATGACCGCGTCCATCTCTGTGTGCACGATTGCTACAAGCTTGCTAGAAATCTGCTGCAGAGAGGATTATCCTTTCTTTGCTATATGAACATTTTATTTATTTAATTTTTATCTCTTTTACTGGATGGACTTATAATATATTTTATTACCTACGATTATTTATTAGCGCTGCACTTTATATATTTTTATAGGGAGATCTGTGCTGTTTACATACAGGTCTCTCCCTCATCCGTGATACACGGTAATTGCTGGGTGCCAGCAGCGAATCACAAGCTGGGACCCGGTGATTGACAGCTGAGGCCGCTAATGACGGCGCGAGTAGGGCGCGTGCAGCTCGCACGCGCCCCCTACCCGTAAATACAAAATTATATATATATATATCCATGATTTTACGCACCCTTGCCACCCTGTAGCAGTATTTCTGCTATAGTGAGGCGGGAAAGCGGTTAAGTATGTGGTTGACTTAAACAAGTCTTTTAGAATTCCTAAGAGTTGAGAGTCTGGCTCCCCAGGGCAATCCAGATCAAATGGATGCAATCACAATTAGACTGATCATTCAATGTAAAGCGAACACCCTGCTTGTTTAATTGCTATAAACAGTGCTGAAAGTGTGTTACATGCTTGTCAGGAATTTTAATAAGGCTTATTCAGAAGATTAGGCCTGTTACCATTGTGTCAATCAATACAGAGAATAAATGAAAAAGCCATCCTTGGAAAAAAAAATGCAGTGTGCTAGTAACATCTCGAGGATATTATTTGGCAGGGCAGTGGCAGATGCCATTCTGATATTAAAGTGGTAGTAAAGCCTTCTTAATGATTTATACCTACAGATAAGCCTATAATAAGGAAGTAAGACCCGGTAAAGATGGAAGCCCTGTGACATCACACCGCCGGAGGGCTTAGTTTTCAGGTAAGTCTTTGATACACAGTAGCACATTATACTCAACTTGCAGGGAGAAGATTTTTGTATGTTTTTTTTTTTTTTTTTTGCAGTTTACTACCACTTTAATTGTAGATGTGCATTGCCATTCTATTCATGTGAAACAGGGTACTGAATGGCATCAGTAGGAGCACACCGGAGTAAAGAACATTTCTTTGCTCAGTGCTGCCTGGGCTTAATGTCTACTTGTCATAAGTCCTGCTCCCATGAAACGCCCCCCATTAATTAAAATAGTGTGGCCAAATGAAGTAAAATAAACTATATGGAGATGCAAATGCTAAATATTTAAATTGAGCTCAAATGTTCAACTTGCAAGGATCCAGTCAAGTGGGAGTGAGAAAATGGGCAATTATTCTCTGTCCTCCAGTGGGGGGGGGGGGGGCAAGATACTTAAACTTTTAGAGACAACCCTGACAAAAACGGCAATGGTGATGAAAACTAACTTCCCCTCAAATCTGAATGTGCAACCAACATCACCACTGTGTTGTAGAGTGAGCGAGGCATATTGAAAACATTTTTTTCTATATTCCCCGGCAGAGATCTGTGTTGTTGCAGTGAAAAGCAGGTTAATGCATGTAGTGTGAACAAAAATCTGTAGGGTTCATTAAAAAAAACTAGATGATCTTGCCTAGAAGATCTTTGTTCAGGCACATCCTGCTATAGGCTCACAAAGTTCTTCTCCCTGTCTCCCTACCCTGCACTGTCATTCTGTTACACTCTGGATTCAGATGGCTAAGGGCTCGTTCACACTTGACTTTATTTCTAACTCTTGCCAAACGCCCCTATAGTGGTTGACAGGCATTAGACAGGCGTTTGTGAAGCGTTTATAACGCTCCTCAATCGCTTCCCAAACGCCCTATGCAGAGTTTTGAGGTGTTTGATAGGTGTTTGCCAAGCGTTAAAACCGCACCACAAACGCCTATAATGAAGTTAAATGGTATTAACATTCTG